CACAGGAAACAAGCTGCAACTGTCCTCCACAAAACAGATGTGGTCAATGACTGGTTAAGTGGGAAGTTTACAGAGTAATCATTCCATGTTATCTTCCCATATTGCAATGTGCAATAAACAAGGTTCTTTTTTGGAGCCCACAAACATAATTAATGCTTATCCTTTTTACACCCTAAGAACTGCAACTCCCTCCTCACCGGCCTACCCCAGTGCAAACTCTCCCCGCTTCAGACCATCCTGAACTCAGCTGCCAGACTCATCCACCTCACCAGCCGCTCCACCTCTGCCACCCCCCTCTGCCTCTCCCTCCACTGGCTCCCCATTGCCCAACGCATTAAATTCAAGTTGCTCACCCTGACCTATAAGGCCATTCACAACACTGCCCCTAACTACCTCACCGACCTGATTCCCAGGTACCACCCTACCCGTACCCTTCGCTCTTCACAGGACCTCCTTCTATCTTGCTCCCTGGTCTCCTCCTCCCACGCACGACTGCAAGACTTCTCCAGGTCCTCCACCATCCTCTGGAACTCACTACCCCAATCCATCAGACTGTCACCTTCCCTCCTCACCTTCAGGCGCTCCCTGAAAACCCACCTCTTCAGGGAAGCCTACCCCACCCTCACCTAACAGCCGCTGCCCTTCCCTCCTCCTACCACTCCATCCCCCACAGCCGTTTCCTCCTGTGCCTCTACCCCCTCCCTTCTAGATTGTAAGCTCGAAAGAGTAGGGCCCTCTTACCCCTTGTGTACTGTTTGATGTTACTGTTCTGTTTCATGTATTGTCCCCCCCCTCTATTGTACAGCGCTGAGCAAACCCTTTGGCGCTATATAAACTCGATAAATAAATAAATAAGAAAAGAGCACATGAGATTTACACTCAAAACAACCACACCTGAGATTGGATGTGCTTAGAGATATGTGAGATTAGAGTTCTTAGGACAATCGTAATGCAGCTGATGGTCATCCGAAATTCAATATTTATGTAAAGAGCATTACCCATTGCAGTAAAATGTACCAGTTTAGTGTACAGGAAGAGATAAACAGGTATTTTTCTGTACTTATGTTAATGCACTACGCTTTGAAAAAGATACTAATGCAGGTACCACATTTAAATGAGATGTATGAGGTTACAAAAAAAACCTCACATATCTACTCACCTCAATGTTGCAGCATCACTGTGATGCTGCAGCTGTCCGCCACCTGCTCTAAGACTGAGAACTGAGTAATCATGTGACCACTTCTTGGAGCAGAGAGCACTGACTGTCAGCCACTGCTTTCCTGCACTCTGCCCCTCCAGCACTAGCTTGAGCACTGGGCAGGGGAGGGAGCAGGCGCAGCTGACTTTAGCTCTCAGCCATGCAACTGAGAGCTGGAGCCAGTTATCAATCAGGTAGCTGGGTGGATCGCTACAATATCCTTCCAGAACCTGGAGTAGCTTTATGACGTCTGGTTCTGGGTCACAAAAGAGCAAAGGTAAGTGCACTTCTGTGACCCACATGAGAAGTATGTCCAAAAAAGTTTTAGTCATACTTCTCTTTTAATGTATAATAAGCTGCAATATATTCAATTTTTGTTCATGGGTTTAGAGTAGCCTCTGGTAAGATGGGTAGTTTGTTTCCGTCTGTGCATACCAGGGGCGCACTGACCATTTGGAAACTCAGGCACTGCCCGAGGGCTTGGGGTCAGTAGGGGGCCCCATGAGATGCCCCTGGTACCTTTTTCATAGGCTTTTTTGAGTTTGGGCAAGGACACAGGGGCCCCATGATCCCCTATTGCCCGGGCCCCATGAGTTGTCAGTCCGCCCCTGGTGCATACCTACAAATAGCATGCTAGTATTGGTATTATTGTTACAATTGAAGAATGTTCTTTTTCAAAACTCTGTGGCCTGCCCTTCCTCATCAAGGTGCCTAATGTCAAGGGGTTTCTCAAATCTGACTCTCAGCTATGAGAATTATCTTCAGACAAAATAAGCATAGCTCAGTAAGGGGTCAAATACAAATCTTTCAAGTAAGCTTCCATAATTATAAAAGTTTCAGACAGGACACATAACTGGATTGATAGAGAAGACTGGGGCGGAATATAGATAATTTGTGTGTGACCCATGCCCAGAAAACCAACTTGTCTATAATGTTTTTTCTCTTGGTTCTTAATGCAAATGCCATGATTCAAATGATTTCACTGCAATGGGCACACAAAGACATCATCATTCTAGTAGATCTGACATCACACTAGATCTCACACAGAAGTAGTGAGGGGAAACAAGTGTTGTATCTCAAGCTGTACTGGGTCCTTAAACTTTTCTACAGCCAGACTGATAAAATCTTTGATCACGCCTCTGGCTGAGACTACAGTCTCTTGCCAGTAGTTTTATGCCACGTAACCTATACCCTTTGCAATGTTACTAAGAGACTGCAGTGGAATCAGAGCATGAGTATTAAAATTTCTCAGCCCTGGGGCAATGTCTGAACTGAGATTCAGTCAGCAGAGTTGGGACTACCTGGCCAATAAAATCGTAGACTCAGGATTAGGTGGTCCCAGTTGCTTTCACAAAGCTATATGATCTGAAATGTTTAAAAAAATGGCAAGCTAATCCCTGGAATATATTTCCATACAAACATTTCAGGTTCGACTGGCGTCTGCATTTACATTTCATGTAAAGAAGGAAAATAAGCACCATGCAATATATTAGTATTTTACAAGTTATTCAGCAGCAAAACTTCCAAATCATAAAACCGGGAACTATAAGCTCCAAAAACTTTTATACTGCATATTACATTGTGCAAGAAGGATAGTGTTCTTAAGTCCATCTATTTTTTGGGCCATCTAGTCTGGAAGCTTTTTAAACAGTCATGAAATTGAGCTTGTCCCAAGAAAAGCAGAGCCAAGCAAAGTGCTAGAAAAATGGCTCCCTGCAAAAAGCTAAAATACGGCCTTTATTTAAAAGCATAAATTAAACCATAAATTAGAAGTATGTCATGCCAAATTCCACCCTATACAATATGGAGAATGTGCCACATCCAGGAATTCCTAAACTAATTGTGTACTGTAGACTTACAGGGTGCAAACACTTAAGTCATAGTTCCACTCGAAGAACTTCATGTGCTGGCTGATACATCTTGCCAGTAATAAGCAACAAAAAACATCTCTACTAAAAAAACACCTCTGTTCTTATATTCATATGGGTCTGTTTGGCCTTTTATGTACTCTGAGGCCAAGATTGGCATTCAGAACAGCTTTACCTTTCTGACAAATTCCATAGAGCAAAGCAGGATAACTTGTTGAAAATCCACTGTACTCAAGGAAAAGCCTATATTTTACATTTGCTGTGGAGCTGCAGACACAACTGTAAGTATCTGTAAGTAAAATGTAACTGTAAGTAATATGGTAAGCATCCAGTATTCAAAATTAAAGTGTTACTAAACCCCGGACCCTGCATTCACTATATCCGGTCTTCCACAGTACACAGAACATGAAAATGCAATTATTTTAGCAAATATAAACTGCTAAATACATTTTCTCATCAGCAGTATGATTTCTATCAATGTCCGATTGAGCGATGCTTATTCTTGTTGGAGTTTTCATTCTCCTCCGACTGTCCTATGAGGCTGCATGACCCCTGCCCCTCTGTCTGCACAGTGCTGATTGGCCCAGTGGTGATCACATGCACCCTCCCCCCCAAAAAAAACTCTCTAGCAATACACATCAAACAAAGCATGTGCAGACTTGCCACTGCTGCTCTGTACTATGACAGATGGATTGGGGACAGAAAAAGAAGGAAAGGATCAGAGAAGACAGGATCAAACAGCCTTTTGACACAATGCGGAGGATTAACCCCTTAGGTTCCACAGTGAGTATAACAAGCATGCTTTACTGCATATACAGTAAAAGTATACCTAAAACAGCGTATCTTTTTAGGCATACTTTTAAAAGAGACTGAATACTTAACTCTTCCTTGTCCATGCTGCCTAGTGCCTCTCCTTTCAATTGAAATCCTGAGCTGACGACGTCTGGTAAACTGACCCTTCCTAGAGTGTCGATCTCCAGGATCCCCCACTAGGGACCTGCCAGCCTCCTTGTCACTAATGGTTCCGCTCTAGGATATGTTGATTTACCAGAGGGATTCAGCCAGGTATTTCACAGAGTAGCATTTGGGGGGGCAGTCACCAGGAGAGGTAAGTATTCAGTCTCCTCTTTAACAAGTACACCTTTCAGGCATACTATACTGACAGGGTTGCTTTAAATAGTACGTTTTATAGATGTCTACACATCAGGCCTTAACAGCTTCATGCCCATCTCCAGCATCCAGTTAACTGGGTCTTTATGCCCAGGGGGCAGGAGAGATTTTCCAATCATGTGTCCACTGTGATTGGCTGTCAGAATGGTCCCAATATTGGGAGCCTGTCCTGCCAGCTTCTGATAATGACTAGAGCCCAAGAATTGTCTATGACAGTTTGGTCATTGTGCTGGGAGCAAGCAGTGAGCACGCTATTAGTACAGAAACGTCAGCCATCCATGGATGCATATGTGCGGTGTATGGGCGTTAAAGCCCATACTCTTTGCTGCAGCACATATGTGTTACATGGGCAGCAAGAGGTTAAAGAGGAACATTGTTAAAATAGTGGATGAGAGAAATTTCAGTAGAGTTCAAAATACTCCTTTATTTTTTAAATCCATAAAAATAGGTACACAAAGTAAGACTGAGACTTCTAACGTGTTTTACGCTAAAAATCACTCAATCATTGCTTGTGATTAACCGTTTTTTTCGTGTGAAAAACGTTAGAGTTCTCTGTCTTCCTTTGTTTATTTGCTTTTAAAGGATTTTTATGAATAAAGGAGTATCTTTAACTGAACTGGAAGTGCAGCCATTTGCTACTTTACCCCCACTTCTCAGTGACAAGCTGGATGTGCATCCAGGAGTGGTACAGCCAAGGTTGCACCAGTCATGAACAGTTCCTTAACATTGTTTTAAAGAGGGGATACTGAGGGGAAAAAATGAGACAGAGTGATTTCATTCCCAAAGAGAGACTGTTGGGAGCAGGGGCAGACTGACCATTGTGAAACTCGGCCACTGCCCGAGGGCCTGGGGTCAGTAGGGGGCCCCATGACATGCCCCTGGTACCTTTTTCATAGGCTTTTTTGAGTTTGGGCAAGGACACAGGGGCCCCATGATCCCCTATTGCCCGGGGGCCCCATGAGTTGTCAGTCCACCCCTGGTTGGGAACTATGGTGTATTAGGATCACTTTATCTAATAACAGCTTGGTCAACTTCAAACACTACATCATGATCTGCAATAACCTGTTGAAAACTATTGGCCTTGGTGTGATCTTCCATTGTACTTGTTCCATATTGACTCTTAGCACCCCATAAATCCTCTCCTAAAGAAGCTATTTCATAGCACTGGAAAGAAAGGGGTTACTTCTACATCTGCTGAGGGGCCTCACTTCCCATTAAGCATGCAAAATGTTCCTATTTAGTTAGCTGTGAAAGGTATCGCATTTAATCCTGCATGTTATTTTTCCAATACAAAAATTGTTTTACCTTCCAGCATACACGACTATAACTGGCAAACATTATCAGTAGGTCATTACCAGTTGATCTTTCTGGTCTTTTATTAGAAACTTAAGAAAAACATATGCGTGTGTGGCACGATTTGTTAAAATGCAGCCAGTGTCTTGCGAAGTGGGAATCATTAGACCCCCCTCAGATTGTTATAGCAGCCACTGTGCCTGTAATGTCTCTGTTTTGGTGCAATCCTAATTTCAGTTTTGTCATTCACTGCCCTGTAAGAGTCTCTCTTGCTTTCCTGGAAGCAGGCCAGAGCTGTCATTCAGCCACAGACAGTCTCCCTGTCAGCGCGCTCTCCCGAGAGCCGTCACAACACTGTCAGACCTGGCGCCTGGAGAGCGCTGAGAGGATGCAGCAGACAAGGCTTAGTCAGTCTGGCTCTGCAAGGGTGCACAGACTCACACACAGGAGACATTAAAGCAGCAAGCAGACCTAGAGGACTGGACTATGCCCTGTACACAATTTCCACAGCTGAAACTTTGCAATTAATTACCATGTACAGAGATTGACTATTGGGAATATTTAGGTCCCTACACCATTATGTAAGTTGATTTCAATACAAAAAGATATGATACAAAGGGAACACTGGCACTGTTTAAAATATTAAACCATACAACTATTCTGAATAAATGAACCTTTCAACAACAATACAAGTCTGCATAAACTAAAACTACAGCAACTGCATCATTAAAAATGCCACAGATAGACTGCCAAAAAGCAGTGCTTAAAGCTTAACTCCAGACACAAAAAGTTTCATTTAAATATATTCCTCAACAGCCACAAAGAATAAAAATCCACTTTGAAAACCCAGATATTATCTTGTAACAGTAGCAGTCATAGCTCCCAACTGTCCCTGATTTCAAGGGACTGTCCATCTTTCCTCCTCATTTGTCCCTCATATTGGTTTAATCTATATAGTTGTATATAAAATGCATTTTTTTATCTAGCAAAAAGTGTTTTACTGTCCTCAGGGGCAGACTGACCATTTGGAAACCCCGGCACTGCCAGTAGGGGGCCCCATGAGATGCCCCCCTGGTACCTTTTTCATAGGCTTTTTTTGAGTTTGGGCAAGAACACAGGGGCCCCATGATCCCCTATTGCCCGGGGGCCCCATGAGTTGTTAGTCCGCCCCTGACTGTCCTAAAACCTTTCATCCAATTTCTAAACTACTGCATTTGGATATTTCCAAAGTCAATATAAAGGAATAGTAGTGGTCAAAAAACTACTTGTGGGTTTATCCAACAATTTTTTTGTGTTATTCTTCTTTGAGGAAGGGGGAATGTCACCAGCACACCGAGGATCACCAATATGGGTCCAAACGTTTTAATGGACGATCACGTAGTTACAGCAAGGCAACATTTCGGAGCCTCGCAGGACACCTTCATCAGGCATGTGACGCCATGCGCCTGATGAAGGGGTCCTGCGAGACTCCGAAACAATCCCTTGTTGTAACTATGTGTTAAAGCTTTTGGACCCATATTAGTGATCCTCGGTGTGCTGGTGACCTTCTCCTTTGCTGATTCTGTTCGGTTCCAACTGACGGTCGCTGCAGCACCCACTTATACACACAGCCATGTTTAACACAGGAATGTGTGCATGTCAAGGTCCTACCTTTTCCCTGAGGTTATGTTACTCCATGTGCTGGCGTCCATCTTGGATTCTGCTGTGCATGGTGGGAATCCTTTTATGCCTTCAGGTCTCTGTGGTCCATCCCCCAGAGGGGTGTGGCTGATTACATATAAGCCTGTGGCCCGCACATGCTCTTTGCACTTGTGTCTTGTGTCTTTGTGTTGCTATTACTCTGTTCTGACTCTCGTGACTCTCCTGGTATCTGATTCGGCTTGTGACTCGACTATTCTTTGTATTCTCCTTTGATCTGACCCTCTGTTGCTGAACCCGGCTTGTGACCTGTGATTCTCGTCTGCTGTCCTGTACTGTTTTGTCCTGTTGTTGTTGACCCGGCTTGTCTGACTACTCTTTTGTCTCTTCCACCAGCTACACGCCATTGGCGGCGGCCATTACTGCAGCTGAGGTGTCTCGGGGGCCGCGACCTGGTTCCTGGCTGCGTCAAGTCCATCCCCACCATCAGGGGCCCTGGTGAAGGGCAGCCTGGGACTTAGACTCCGCGCCCTGAGGGACTTCGGTCTGTGGGTGGTGGTTGTCGTCAGCCAGTGCGTTACATTGTTAGGCCTGCCTGTCCGTTCATCGGCCCCTGCCCTGACAGTGCATTTGGATTGTACACTTGCATTCTCCTTTAAGGGGGGCGTATCCTATGCCTTCATACCTTTGCTAATATGTGTCCCTTGTTCCCATCTCAGAAAGATGAGAGGTATCGTAGCAGTGACATAATCACTGTGTTGTATATATCCTGTGTAGACAGCTGTCAGAGGGACCCAGCAGACCCCACCCACTGCAGGCTGCCTGCAGGAAACTAGAAGAGGGGGCGGAGACAAGACCAGTAACCCTGCACAAGGAGAGAGGGCAGCAGTGAATGGTCTCTATTACAGGAAGCTCCAGCAAAAAGACTATGTTTCACACTGGCTTGTCGCACAGATTTTGGAGAAATACACAAAGCAAACCAAGATTTAATTAAGAATATACATGGCTCTTATATTTAACCACCTAAATACCGGACACTTTCACCCACTTCCTGCCCAGGCCAATTTTCAAATTTCAGCACTGTCACAGATTGAATGGTAATTACTTAGTTATGCAACACTGTACCCAAATTATATTTGCATAATTTTTTTATGACAGATAGAGCTTTATTTTGGTGATACTTATTTTTTTTATAGTTTGCTACATAAATGAAAAAATACAGATAATAATTAAAAAAAAAAACGCTTTTTTGTTATAGAATTTTCCAAATAAATAATCTTCCTTCATAAATGTAGGCCACGGAGTATTCTGCTAAATTTCTTTGGTAAAAAATCGCACAAATCAGTGTGGAGCTGATTTACACAGTGTCTGACAGCGGGGGATCGTGGCAATCTGGTACAGTGGGACCAGGGGGGATGGGGAGGGGTCTAGTGTAAGGTCGCCTTATAGATTTTCTGTTAAGGTGAGCTTACACTATAAGCATGGGCTGGTGGATGGTTTGAACCGCTGGAGGCTGGGGGGAGGGAGAGCTGCTGGAGATGGGGGACAGCTGCCTCTGGGAATGGGGAACAAAGCTATGGGAGAGGCGGGAGGGAGGAGCCCAGACTGCAGCTGCTGATGTTTGAAGTTGGATCGGGAGCCGGAGCTTTGCTCGTGGAACCCGTCATGCAGGGAGGTTTCCCGCACCACTCTTGTGTGAAGTCACTATGACAAGCCTGGGTTCACGCACCACATTTCTGTCCAAATCACATGCAATTCTTTGCAGAGCGATTTGAGCCCATTCATTTTGTGTGAGCTCAAATAGCATCGCAAAGGTATGGTTACTCGGTATCTACGTGTACTCGACGTATCGGTACTCATACTTTCTGGAAAAATTGGTATCGGTGCAACACTAGCTTTAAGCAATATTTTTTATGAATGGCATCCATTCATGTGCCATTGTGTACAAATGTGACATCTGTGAGTGACTACAGCTATCACAGAGTACAGGTCCGCTGTGATTGGCCCTGTACTATGTGATCACTGTGACCAATCACAGCTCACAAGAGTACACAATGAATGGCTATGAATGAAATCCATTGTGTACAATTGAAATGTGATTGCTGTAATAGGTGGACAGGGCCAGCCCGATACAACATCTGTCTTCCAGTGGACACATTGGATCACAGATTACAATGCTGCATGCCCCCCAGGGCTCATACAAGACACACCTTAGGCCTCATTCAAATCTGGTTATATGGGATCTCAGGCAGCATCACACTGCATTAGTTGCAAAACGTACCTTGCATGTTTGGGTGCCATTCATTTTCAATGACACCTAAATGCAGTGCAGTTTTGCCAAGTTTGTCACGTGATAACTCATGCGGCAATCGTGTCACAGCCCATCACCTAAGCGAAGCTCCTGCTCTTCTTTGGGCATCAGAAGTTGCGCAATGTGGTATTCCACGTGGTTTATTGCATGACAGTCATGGCAAAAATACACTGTTTTTAGGCGCCATTGACAATGAATAAATGGCACCCGAACACACATGGTGCGCTTTGGCACTATTGTTGTGCAATTTGGGATTGCAGGCAGAATCACAGCAATTCTGTCTGAAGGCCTAGGGGTCCATTCATACCTGATGCAGAGCGACTGCGTTGGGCATCTATTCCAGAGCAGTCCCACCTTACCTCGACCGCAAGGCAAGGCAAAATGCATTGTCTCTGGTGTGGCTGGATCACCCCACTACATTGTGGTAGTGTGTGGGCAGTGTGTACTGAAAAAAGTACTGCACGCAGGACTTTTTTCTAGTACAGAACAGGTCACCGAGCACTGGCCAATAGAATTCTATGTGTGACATTTCAATAAAGTCAATTTTAAAAAAAGTAAACAGTGTGATGCACTGATATCAGCGCATCACAGCTGAGCTGGTCTGGCTGGACAACACTGCATACTAGCCGCTGCGTTGCAATGCAGCGGCTGGTGTGAATGAGCCCTAAGTCAGAATCCCATTAAAGAAAGATGATGATGACCCTGGAAAATCCTGGAACAAAGATGATTCTGTCATTCTGGAGAAAACAGCAGATGAAGACATTGTCAGGGGAAGTACTGTGATCTCTGTGAGAGATAAAAAATACACGGAGGTGTTACACTTACAATTACTTATGTATGCACTTAACATGAAAAAAGCAGACCTGCAACAGAACTTTTCCTTGTCTTGGCAACATAAGGTCCTCAAATACAAAAACACTGGGAGTGTTCCTCTCCCCCCAGTTAAATGATTGTTGGTGCTTGTTCAACTAAAATTGAAAGACTGGGCCAGATATTAAATTACGTATATCTAGTTTCGTAGGATGACCCTTCACAAAATGGACATCCTCCACCGTATTCTTTTTGTGTTTAAAACAGTGCCTGTAGAAGTGCTGAAATTCTTCTTTCATACACTGTGGTCCTCACTCTTGCAATGCATAAGGGCCAACTCTCCAGCGTGACTTCTATATGCTATACACCTAGCAAACAGTAACAAGATAGAGGAATGCCCAATATAGAATTTATGAAAAGGCATCCCTACTCACAAGACTCCTAGACTGGGTATTTATTGCTCAACACAACTGTGGGTGCAGAGTGAGACCTCCATGTCATCTGTCCCTTTCTTTGTGTACATCAACATCCTCAATGTAAATATCTTCCCTTTTACTTGGCTCTCAACTTACATGTTTGGGATTAGCTAATGTAGCACCCTCCTAGGCAGGCTGTTAGGTAAATTTAGTGTTTAGCTTGCTCTGTAGTTAGAGAAGGTGGAGATGATTGCTTGGATCTATTTGTCGTTTCCCAGGTGGCAAGATTAATTAAGTTCCCCTCTCTCTGTTGGGAAACTTTTAAGGTTTAGAGAGGGAACTGCATATTTCCCACCTGAATATTTGCTACCCTCTGGCCGATCCCTGGGGAGGTGTGCCCAGTAGGTGGTTATAAAAGGAGGGGTTAATAGGCTGGAACCTGGACGTGTTCTTCCCTTGGAGGAGAAGGAACTATGTGGTTCTTTCCCTGAAGGAAGGGGGATCTTGTGATTCAAGGAGCTGCAAAGCTCTGAATCCTTCCGGACTGGCTGCTGGACTACTACCTCCCCTAGATTGAGCCCATGGCCTTGCTTCTACTGGAATTTGTGCGTAGAGCTCAATCTCCTGAGCTGCAGTTTATGTTGGTCCTCAGCTGTGGATATTTCATACTGCTCCAGTATATCTAGTGTGCTATCCATCTTGTGATCTTCAGCTGCAAGAACTCAGACTGTTCCAGTCTGCTTCTACTAACTGTCCAAACCTATCTTGTGGTCCACAGATGTGGGAAACTTAGACTGTTCCAGTCTACTGCAGTACGTGTCCTATACATGCTCTAAATATTCCCCTGCTCTACAGCTGGGAGTTAGTTGCTACTACTGCATAGTGGAGAGGGGCTTCTGCTGATTTTGTGCCTAATATTCTCCTGGACCACAGCTGGGAGGGAAATACTGTA